CCAAAATCCATTAAATGGGGAAGAGAATGTTTGTTTAACAAATGGTGCTGGCAAAACTGGAGATCCATTTGCAGAAAAATGAAACAAGATCTGTACCTCACACCATACACCATACACAAAAAATCCAGATTGATCAAAGACTTAAATGTGAAACCCAAAACTATACAGTTCCTCAAGGAAAAACTAGGGGCAAATTTAGGGGCCTAATATATGGCATAAATAGACTACCAAGCATAACCCAAAATGCACAGACAGCAGAAGAGAAACCAGATGATTGGGACCTCCTAAAAATTAAATTTTTATGTGCTTCCAAAGACTTCTCCAAAAGAGTCAAAAAAGAACCTACACATTGGTAAAAAATATTTAGTAATGACCTATCTGACAAGGGACTTATCTCTAGAATTTATAGAAAACTCCAACACCGCAATAACAAAAAGACAAACAATCCAATTACAAAATGGGCAGAAGACATGAATAGACACTTCACCAAGAAGGATATTTAAGCGGCCAACAAACATATGAAGAAATGCTCACGATCATTAGCTATTAGAGAGATGCAAATCAAAACAACAATGAGAGATCATCTTGCTCCAGCACTAGTAGCAAAGTTCAACAAGACAGAAAACAACAAATGCTGGCGAGGATGTAGAGAGATAGTACTTTGATAAGAATGTAAGACAGAAAACAGCTAAATTATACAACAGCCGTTTCCTTGTAAAATAACTTTTTAAAAAAACCAAAGACATTGTGCAATTACTCTAAAAATTATTAGACGTACCTCTGATTCCTCATGCCAAAAGGTATCCATTAGGCATACACAAACTACTCCAATAATGACTGCTAAATAATCAAACTGATTCGATTAAAGAATATTTGAGACAATTAGAGTGGAATATTTTCTAAAGAAATTGCCACGCAGATTCAAAACAATTGTTAAGATTACAGAATTATTATTAAGTCCCAGAACTGCTGCCAGGAACACCATTATAGCTGTACTGAACACAGGAACAGCTGAGTACAGCTTGAGATACTGGGAAGATTACATTAACAAACAGCAGCCTCCGCGGTCTGGCAAGCAGGTGACAGCAGTGCTGTACATACACCTCCCTGACTGAGCAACAGTTTTAGTCTGCAGTGCTCCAAAACAATGGAGGCGGGGGGAGACAACCACAAAGGCTGCATGGCAGACACAAGAGTAAGAAGTCTGCTTTGTTTCAGCATTCCTGACAGTTGAGTGAACGTGCAGGGCAAGGGCCCTCCAGGTTATGGCAACAGATCAGACCCTGGTCCCGAGAAACAACGGACTGAAACTCCACACTCAGCCCCGATCACCAGAATCCCCTCCCGACTTCCCGAGCAGCTGCTGTTCTCTGCTGACTCATGCTCACGCCTGGCTTTTCTCTTGGTTTCTCAGATGTGAACCTTCACGATAGTTATTTACTCTCTTGGATTCATGGTAGAGACTTTAGCTCCACAGTACTATGCAGGACAGGAAAAGGGCCGTCCTGTCAAACCGTGACCCCCACCCAGAGAATGAGTGTAAGCAGGCTGGGGTGCAACGCTGCTAAAGCACAAGGAGAACAGGAAATAACTAGACTCCACTAAATCCTTCCTTTCCTGAGTTTACTTATAGAATACTAAGTACTAGCCAAAGGCATGCACCCTGAACATAAGACACTTACCATTAAACAACTGTTATCCACTTCCTTGTTCAGGAGACAGCTATACCTTTCTTAGTCAGATTTCACTTATATAGAGGATTGGCTACCATTTAAGAAAATTCAAACTTACAAAATCAATCAATTGTGGGTGACTACAGAAGGACTGACAGCAGAGGTCTCATTTTCAAAATGGCATTTGACATATTTTTTCTTCCTCCCCCAGGACACATCTGGGAGTTCTGGTAATGTAAAGCCTAAGGTACTTGACTGCTAACCAGCCTAACAACAATGACAAGGACACATCTAATGCATAATGTGAAATATAAACAATCAGTTCCTAAAACTGAGTTGCTCAGAGGACTGTCTCTGAAGTTTAAACATTTGTACAAAGAGCCCTGTTGTTGTTATGTGTCGTCAAGTTGGACCCAACTCATAGCAACCCCTCCCTTGGGTTTCCAAGGCAGTATCACTATGGAAGTAGATTCCCCAACCTTCCATCCGAAGAGTGGCTAGTGGGTTTCATCTGCCAGCTTGCTGGTTAGCAGTCAAGTGCCTTAGGCACTACACTACCAGAGCTCCCATAAAGAGCCCTAGTAGTAAAATCACTCTACACAAAGTACAAATTCTAGCCGCATCCAGCCAGTGTAAGAGGGCACAATTTCATACATGTAGGGTAGCAATAAAACTCTAATAATGATAGGTTGTAAAAAAAAAAATACTTGCTAAATTTCTGCTTTTTAGAATTGCTATAAAGTTAAGTTTGTGTCTTTGACTTCACTGGGAAACCATCTAGATATTCCAACGTCAACACAGGTTCAAGAAATTGTGACAAATGCTGTAAATAATTGAAGATCAAAGACCATCACACAAGCCCTCAGAGCACTCAGCCCACCAGAGTAACAAGGGTCGAGAGCAGGGCAACTGCACTTGAACACGGTGACCTGTCCCGTCTGCAGGGATGATGCCAGAGAGCAGAGAATGCTGCCAGGAAGCCTGGGTTTGAGCTTCAACTCTACTAGCGATCCTTCTGTAAGCAAGTTAGCATTTCTGCTGCTACCTGAACACTGTGAAACTGGGACTGCTCAGGAGCAGGAATCAGCTGCAGCGGAAAGTAACCCTGGTTCCAATTCCCCAGTGGTCTAGGGCCGTTTTGGGATGACAGGATTCTTTGCAAAGTCAGAATCAAAAGACTCAGATGCAACCACTGCTTAACGTATGCACCCCGAATGATACACTACACCCAACAATGGGTTTCATCAAGAAAACAGTTTTTTTTTCCCCAGAAAATGGGAAAAGTGTCTAAGTACACACACTAGTCTACAGCATGATCCATGAAGGTAGCTCATTTGTCTACCTGGGTAAAGATATTATAGATGTGGGCTCCTAATTTCTGACTAACAGTCCCTGTGCCTCTAGCCCTACAACTCAGCACACGACTTTCATGCTCCTAGAGACAGCGGTCATTTATCCAAGCCTCCACTAAGTACTAAGACCACCCAGACGCTGATGTCTCCTAAGCGCCTATCTTAAACCCAGAGCTCTCCTCCCAGCCCGACCCACATTACCAACAATCTACCCTATTCCCGCTTGTCCCAAACTCAATTCTGGATCACCTCCACTCAAAATCTGTTTCCCCCCCCCAGGTCTTACCAAGCATCATTATTCCCACCACCGTTTAAGGCAAAACCTTGAAGGGCTATCTCTCCTTCCATACCTTGAAAACCAACCCCAGAAGAAATCCAGAGGCAAATACTGGTAATCTTACTTCTACCCACCCCAGCCATCGAGTCAATTCTGACCCATAGTGACCCTACAGGACAGAGGAGAACAGCCCCACAGGGTTTCCAAGGCTGTAAATCTTCATGAAAGCAGACTGCCTCATCTTTCTTCTGTGGAGAAAATGGTGGGTTTTAAACCACCAACCTTTCAGTTAGCAGCCCAATGCTTTTGACCACATTGCAACCAGAGCTCCTCCTACTTCTCCAGCATACGTCAAATCCGTCTACTTTTCTCCATATTTAGCAGCACCATTCTTGTTCAAGCCACCATTATCTCTTGCCTAGAAGAGTCTCTGAAACAGCCTGCTCTGATATATTGTTGGCACCCTACGTTCACCACATAACAGCCAAGACAATGTTTTTAAACATTAATAAGTTCATATCACTCCCTTAATGAGAAAGCTTTAGTGACTTTCCACTGCACTGTGAATAGAAGCCAAGTCCTCACTATGCTCTTTAAAGCCCTACACCATTTGGTCCCTGCCTGCCTCTCCCATCTTATCTTGGGTCACCCTCCTCCTCGCTGATTCCATTCTAGCCAGGCTGGCCTTCTCTCAGCTATTTGAATTCCCCCCTTGCATCTTGGCCCATGTGACAGCCTCTGCACAAGCAATCGTGCTGCCTCCTCATCCTTCAGGCCTCAGAGAAATCGCAGCTTCTGACAAAGCCTTCCTTGACAGCCCAGGCCAAGGGAAGCCCCTATTCCAATGTCTTCACATCTTTTTCTTTTCCTTCTTAATGGTTTTTCATTGTTTTGTAACACATATTTACTTGTTACGTCTATTACTTACCTCCATCATGTTCATAAATAGGTTGGAAGTCAGCATCCAGTTTAGCACGCAGTAAGTACCCGAACGTTTTACTGAATTAACTAATGGAGACAAGTACCTCAGGCAAATCTACTCACAGACATATCCCACTGGCTAATACAACACGCAATAAAAAAGATCTTACCTTGTCCACTTTTTTCTTTTTAACAGGGGGATCAAACCTGTCATTGACTCCAAAATACTGAGTAAGCTCCTTCCACTGGGTTTCATTTGAGGACTGTTCACTGCAGGAAGATAATACTTGTATATAAAATGTGCTCATTCTCGTGGTTTTTAATTGGCTATTACAATTATATTATAACTAGGTCTGTGTTTGAGCAGTTCCAGAGACGTACGGTCATCTGCTCAAATTCTACAACACAGAGCAGTATATGGGTCAATACCGTCAATCCTACCTACCTGGGAGATGCCTCTTCATTCTTCACTTTACCTGAAATATATTCAATTGTTATTTCAAAAGTATGTCTTTAAAACATTACTGAACTCAATTAAGTCAAATTTTAACATTAGCACAACTGACAAATAACCTGAATTAAAATATATACCTTTTCTGGAACGTTTTCCTTTTTTCCTCCTGAATCTTGATAGTGAGGTTTTCTGTTCAGCATGTTTTTTATGCAAATCTTGAAATTTCTATATAAAGGTGAAGGAAAAAATTGAGAAGCAAATACATTCTGAAGCAAGCCACGCATTTTTAAAATAAACCTGCTAAGTATGAAAATAATTACATGCTAACATGCATAAGGATACCAACTGTGCAAAAGCAGCTCAGCTCTTCTGGAGCTACTCTAGTATCCAAGGCACTCACACCCCATGTTTTTATTTTCATTTGTTTCAAAGCCATTTGAGCATTTCAGAATAAAATTTAATGACTCATATTGATGAACAAGGGATGAAATTCATTTAGAAACTCCTCCTCTATCATACTAGGCAAAGGAGGTAATCCCACTATTTCCCCCCCTTTTCTTCTGTTATGAAAACAAAACAAAAATAAAAGCAATTACCTAAGTGCCAACAGTTTGACAACAGATTCCCAGAACAGTGAACGTGTCTAAGTGAGTCTTCTCACCCGTTACCTTCCAAGAACAGACACGTTCTGACCATGGCAGAGACACACACACATCCGTGCACTCACATACACACTCAGGCTTTCTAGGAACAAACTAAAGAAGACCTACATTCCACATATTTAAAGAGATTCCCAAAGGGCACTCTTCATATGCATTCACATTTGCCTCTGTTTCTGCTTTCAGTCCATCTGTCGGGAAAGCTGAGGCTTCTGTCTGTCTAGTCGTCTCATCTTCTTTAGCTTCCTGGAGGTGAAGTCGGGAGTTTTCTGACGTGGCTTCATCTTCAGAACTCGACTCAACATCACTCTCATTTAGGCCAGGAGGCAGCAGCCCACTCCACATCTTTTCTTCAATAGGGAAAATAAGAATTTAGACACATAAAGTAGCCGCAGAAAGAATTTTTAAAACAATTAAATGATACCTCAAGAGCCTAAAAATTATACCAATTGTCTGGGAAACTGTCCATCTAAAAATTCTTTTAAAATCTATAATGAGGCCAATATTGAGAAATGAACATTCTGTCATCAATAAAACAACATTTCTGCTGTTCTGAGAAGGAGCGGGGGGAGGGCAGTAATCGGCTTCAGCGTGACTTTGCCATAATACACCTTCAGGCTCAATCTCCATTTCAGGACCGAACAGTAATAACAAACTTCAGACTTCAATTTCCCAGCATAACTGGGGCTCTAGATCTGGAAA